TCTATCTATCTCTCTCTCTCTCTCTCTCTCTCTCTCTCTCTCTCTCTCTCTCCCTCGCTCTCTCTTTCTCTATCTGTGTGTGTCTCTCGCTTTCTCTTTTTGCCCCTCTCACACTCTCTTTCTCTCGATTTTGCTAGTTCTCTCTCCGAGGTTCAGCCCATGAAGTAAAAGTAGATCTGAGAGACAGCGATTTCGTACAAGCTCCAGTTACTCTCAACTTCTGTACTAGCTGACTGGTTCTTATTGCAACCGTATTTGCAACTGTTCCCCGTGCGACTTGTTTATAACTGCAACAAAGTTTATGTGTCGTGGTTTCGGGGTGCGATTGTGAAATAAACTGTTGGTTATTTCCTTTTGCGCTTTTCACTAAAAGAGTGTAGGTAGTTGATACCTGAAAAGCAACTATATTCATGTCATATTTCATCTGAAGTCACCGGCCGTTCAGGCTTAACTTATGTAAGCTAAGCGTATTCGGCGATAGGCCTCGTGCGATGTAACAATACAGTATTATCAAGAGCGTATCAATACGCTTTTGGTATTATGTACAATATAGGCATTCCTGGGCGCCTGCAAGTTTATATACGCATATATAGGCGCACATTGGCTTATATACGCTCATATAGGCACATATAGGCTTATATGCGCATCTATAGGCTTATACGGGGTGGGGGAGGGGGGGGTAGTTACGCACTTATAGGCGCATCGGGCGTATAGTACAGACGCATATACAGGCGTCTGCGCACCACAATCTTATCAAATACTCCTGTCGGTTAGATAGCAGAGTATTGTCTCAGTACACAACACGCAGTACAGCTTCACAAACGTATTTTTTCTTCACACACATAGCGTCTTTTATATTTTGGAACTGTTCGGATGTCAGAACAAGCGGGTTAACCTAGAAATGTCGAACAAATGCCGAGCAGAGCGCCCGATCCGTGAAATTCCGTCAGATTTCAAACAGCATTGCTACGCGTGGATTGCGTTTTGACGGCGCACAACCGCACGTGTCTGAAACAGGTCGGCCTCAACTTATCGTGGCACTATCTCTCGCGCTCGCTCTCTCACACAACTACGCGCACCCACACGCACGCACGAACGCACGCTCACACATGCGCACACACACGCACACACACGCCTTTCTCTCTATCACTCGTTCTTGCATGCTTCTCTTCTCTCTATTTATTTTTTGCTCCCCTTCTCTCTTCTCTCTTCTCTCTTCTCTCTCACCACTTCTCTCTTTCTTGCTCTCTCTCTCTCTCTCTCTCTCTCTCTCTCTCTCTCTCTCTCTCTCTCTCTCTCTCTCTCTCTCTCTCTCTCTCTCTCTCTCTCTCTCTCTCTCTCTCTTTCTCTCTCTCTCTCTCTGTCGCTCTCTCGCTCTCTCTGTCTATCTATCTATCTCTATTTTTCGGTTAGCGTCGCGCTTTCACTCGTTTTCACCTGATTGCCCTATTTCGGTGAGCGCGCGCAGGCGCGTCGCTTGAACATGTGGATGGTAATTCACTTTCACTGCGTGTTGCTCGTATATGTGAATTGTTGTGTCCGGCATGTAGGTTGCGTAAATAAGCCGCGTGACGCAGGAGCTGCTCGACGCTCCTACATATGGCGAGCCCCGGAGGCATTGCTGCCTCTCCTCTCCTTCCTTTCGCCGTACCCCTCTCTCATTCTTTACTTTATTGCTCCCTTGCTTCCATTGTTCTTTTTGTTATTCCCAGATTCGTTCGTTCGTTCGTTCGTTCGTTCGTTCGTTCGTTCGTTCGTTCGTTCGTTCGTTCGTTCGTTCGTTCGTTCGTTCGTTCGTTCGTTCGTTCGTTCGATCGTTCGTTCGTTCGTTCGTTCGTTCGTTCGTTCGTTAATTCGCCCGTTCTGACTTCCCTTCGTTCGTTCCTAACATCACCCCTTCCTTCTTTTCTGCTTTCCTTCATTTTCTCCTCCTGCCTTCCATCCTTAGTTAAGGTCCAAGTTGTGATGAGCGTACGCTCCGGTTTGTGTTGTGTTACATACACTCAACCGCTTTAATTTGTCTCTCTAGTAAAATGTCCTTATTAGCTCGTGTTATTGTTAGCGAGTTGTTGTAACAATGGTGTGGCATGATTTCACGATCCAATGATCGGTTCATGAACAAATACACAAAGGTATAGTAGTCATCGTTATAATACATCATAATCATCGTTATATATGATCATAATCATTATTATGCATGATCATAGTCACCATTATACATAATTATCACAGTCATTATCACACATTATCATATTTATTGTTATACTAGCTGGGCTACCCGGCGATGCCCGGGGTAAAGGAGAAAAGAGCTAGAATTGAGTCTGCCATGACGGCATATTATCATAGTCACCGTTATACATTATCATGAGTCGTTATCGTTTATTATCGTTCACAGCATAATCTCACCACCTATACTCTTCACGTTTTGCTGCGTGAGTTTGAGACGCTCGTATCCGGATGCCGTGATGCGCGCCCAGCTTTACAGAGTCAACCGAGCAAATCTCTTTTCGGTACATCAGATCTCCAGAGGAACTAAGCCAATATGTGTACATAGTGTATTTTTTCATCCATAAAAGATCACAGCCCTGCTGCGTAGGTCGTGATATTGTTCGCCATGTTTGTGTATTTCGTAACGAATCTATAACTATTGTCTATGGCACTTAGAATCGTTCCATATTGTGTCACGTAGCACTGAACGACGTGTCGCGGTATGTAGTGCATTGCGCTATTCATGCGAAAGCAGGTACCGCGGCCCAGAGTATAACCCGATTTTCATAATATTTCTCTTACGCTAGCGCTGTTTAATTCATACGAAATCTATTCTGCAGTCGCGTATAAACTCACTACAGCTATCGCTGTGACGAATCCTGAC